AATAAAGTGATTGAGCCACTTTAAAGCTACCCAGATAACTTTAATTTAAAAACCAGGAAGTGGCTGAATAGAAAATAAAATAAGTTCACGGTTCTTAGTCATAAGCTTGTTTTAACCACTTCAGGGTAGAATGTTTTTTTTCTTTTCATTTTGGATAAATTAGGGAATGGTTAAATTACCTATTCGATTTTTGCATCTGTGTCCCATTAGAGAGATTTCCCTTCACTTTCTGTCCTGTACATTCAACGGGAAGCGTGTCCCCGTTGGAAGATTGCACCTTTAAACCTATTACATAGTTTGTAACATGATTGAAATACAATGACTGAAAAATTATACAGGTCAATCTAGTTCAACCTATATATGTATCTGTGTGTTTGTCTGTGTGTGTACATGTCATTATGAATGTCTATACCCACACCCATATTTTTTGTTAACTAAGAAACTCATCTAAAATGTTTTATTAAATTGTCTATGCTCTCAGCTGATACCCTAACTTTGGAAGGGATTTTCACATTTGTACAGCTCTGACAGTAAAAAAAAAAACCTTACACAGTTTAAGAATAAACCGATTCTTAACCAACTACATGTGGAGGCCAATTGTTTTCTTTAGTGTCCCTAGCTAAAGTGGAAGTAAAGTATGTGTGTGGGGGGGGGGGGGGGATGGGCCCCTAGGAGCTTCATGTTAAGGCTATGTATCTTCTTCAGAGTAATTAGCTTAATAGGGGAAAAAAGTATCTGGGAAAAAAGCAGGCTCCCAGGAGCACAGCATATTAGCACATTATGACAGACTTACCTGCCAAATAAATCACCTCCAGCACTGTGCTCCTCCGTCACTGGTGCTTTCATATGGGAGTTACTTCATCTTGGCATGCCAAGCTTGTGCACATGCATGCCTTGGTGTACAGGGAGAAAAAAAAAGCTGACGTGCAGCTTGACTCTTTTATGGCAGAAGAAGCTTAATCAATATCGTATGTCATAGAAAGCCTGTCAATTGGCATTTTTGTTTAATTACCAACTTCCACTTTAAACTGTTTGTTCCCAATATTGCAAGCCCCATTACGCGTCTCTTCTCCAAGAAGAAATTCTGTAGTGGTTCTTCATAAATCTCCTACCCCTTTATTAAATGTGTTGCCCTTCTCTGAGCTCTCTAGTTCAAGGACATCCTACGGACCGAAATTGAACTGCATACTCAAGATGCACAATATTGTACAATATTTCATATAGTTATAGAATTACTGTTTTACTTCTTGGGAATATACTTTTTTTAATGCATGATGCCGATTTTGCTAGCTGCCACTTGGCATTGCGTGCTATTGTTGAGTCTGTGGTCTACCAGGAGCACCAGATCTCTCTCCATCCCGGATTTCCCTAGAGGAATGCTTGCTAATGAGTATCTGTCGGGTACCTGCTAGCGGGAGATGCCGCTTCCCTCTGCGGGGACACGGACAGAGAGGGCGTCCACCAGCACGTCCCGGCCGCGCGGGCGCAGATTGCAGAAGGCCCGGCGGGTCACGCCCCGCGCGGCATGACGTCATCGCGTCAATACGCCGCAGTGACGTAATTGTGCATGCGCAGTAGCACATCGTTGGCCTATATAAAGCACCGCAGGACGCCCATTCAGTGCTGGGTGATCTTCAGCCAGCACTGGATGTTCCTGCTGTGCTCCTGTGCCTAAGTCTCTGGCCATTACCCTACCTTGCTCCTATTGTTTACCCAGCTCCATTACCCTGCCTTGCTCCTGTTCCTATTGCTTACCTGTTTTGACCTGGCTTGTCCCTAGACCCATCTCTCTGTTTAACCCCTGTTACTCTGCTGCTCGCTCGTTAGTGACCCGGCTTGTCTCTGGATATCTCTCTGTTTATCCCCTTGTACTTCGCTGCCCGCCTGTTATTGACCTGGCTTGTCTCTTACGCTCCCTTTGCTTGACCCCTTAAGCACAACGGATATTCTTCCAGGTCACCAAGTCTTCCTCGTGACCTCAAGATCTGCCAACCGGCACCCGTGCACCCCTTGCCTGAACCTACTGTTCCCAACCCCAGTGGTCATCAGACTGGGTTGCAAGGGAGGTCCTCCTCGTCACTTTGGGCCCACACCACAATCCTAACAGTATCTTTAATTCATGTTTTTCACTCCCAAGTGCATGGTTTTAAATTTTTCAATACTGAACCTCATTTTCCCCACCTCAATTTTATCAATTTTATCAAGGTATTTAAAGTATCCAACCTCTATATAATTTATAAACAAGATGAACAGAATTGGACTCCACTTGCAACCTTAGTGCATACAGAAAATGAGCAATTTATTATTGCCCTCTAAATCTGTCTCTGCAAACAAGTTTTCTACCCATATGCATTAAGTTTCTTTAATGCCAATAGACCTTAATTTGAAAGTTAAGCATTTGCAGAGCACTGTGCTGAATATTTTAGCAAAATCTTGATAAACTGCAACCACTGGCTTTCCTCTATCTAAATGTATTGCTGACAAGAAGGATTTTTCGTAAATTCATGCTGGTTGTTACTCATGATACAATTTTTTAGGGAAATTCTTGAATGTAGGTCCTTACCATTCCTTCTAATACCTTGCATGCTATTGATCTTAGACTGAGAGGTCTTTAGTTACCTGGTGTACATCTTGATGCCTTTTTGGATATCGGTACCAGATTTGCTTTTTACCAATCTGTCTGTACCATTTCAGTCATTAAGGCATCCTTGAAAATTAGGAACAATATTCTAGCTATACCTTGGCTAAGCTATTTTAAGACTTAAGGGTGTAAGCCGTCTGGTGCTGAAGATTTGTTCACATAAAGGTTTTCTAGTTGTTTTTTTAACCTGGTTTTCTGTCAGTCACCAAAGTACCTTCAGTGCATTATTATTATTACTGTTTTTTTTTTAAACCCATCTTTTTTTGCCTGCATAAACTAAAGAGAAAAATGCAACCCAACTTCCCTTATTCATCCAATATGGGGCCTGTGTGTTCTGCCCTTACCTTTTTTATATTTAAAGGGTTTATTTGGTTTTCTTTTACTTTCTGTAGCAATCTGTTTTTAGTAAACAATCTTAGCTGTCCTGATTGTGTGATTGCATTTTTTTGTTGATTTCCTCATAGTACAGAAATTTTGATGAAGACCCTTCTATCTTATATTTTTTTCATACGTATATGTCTTTTTATCCTAGAATTTAGCCACCCATGATGAACTCTTGTTCTTTTGTATCTGTTAACTAATGGAATGCACTGGCAAATGCTGCTGTTTATTATTTCCTGTAAACACTCCCACTTTTTACATGTTCTTAGTTAATAAAATTTGGTCCCAATTAATATCATATAGTAAAGAGCAAAGCTTATTAAAGTTATCTTTTTTGACATTGAATGTTCTTATATCAACATGTCTCTCTTTGTTTCAAATTACCGCAAATGTTATTACTCTCTGATTCTGTTCTAGTAACAACACTAGTGTGAGGCGGGAAGGAGGTGCAGCGTGTAGAGCGCGTATGCGGGCGGGTCTGGCAGCGGTGAGCGCAAGTTGGGGAGGAGGTGCGGCACGCAGCGTTTGTGGTCCCGTTAACAGGGCCAACTGATCGGAAGCCGTTTAATCGATTATTGAAAAAGTTGACAACTTTTTCAATAATCGATTATAATCGATTATGTCGATTAGTTGTTGCAGCCCTAAACATTTTGTATTTTCTCTCACTTTTAGTCCAATTGACAGTGGTCACCAATGCAAACCTAGAGAGTTTGTCTGTGGTTACAAACAGCAATGAACACCTGACAGGGGTTCTGATGCTTCTAAATGCTATCCATAAATTTAAAAAGGTTTAGAGCTTTAATATTCACTTTAAAGCCGCACAGATATTTATAGTGAGTTATGTAATATTTTACTGTTCATCACACATCATTATTTATTTGAATAAACCAGTATGTATTCGATAATATGTGTACACAGAGTTATTTTAGGCAAATATAATAAGGCTATTGGTCATGGCCAACAAGCAAATCAACTTTCTTTAGCTTTGACGTAGCCTTTTGCTTGTTGTTTGTGATATGTAAGCTTTGTGTATTCTGCCACAGTATTGAGCATATTGTATGTTATGCTCTACAGGTGGAGTTAGCCAAAGAGGAACAGTGTGAATTTCTCCCTTTCTTGTCACCTCGCAAAGTCATCATAAAAGATGGAAATATAAGTGGCATGGAATTTGTTCGTACAGAACAGGATGAGGATGGAAACTGGATTGAAGATGAAGATCAAGTTGTCAAGATAAAAGCAGAAGTCGTCATCAGTGCCTTTGGGTCTGTACTAAGCGATCCCACAGGTAATTACATATTCCATGAAATATTACAATATAGAGATAATTTATACTGCAAACAAATCAACATCAGCATTATGCAAACAGTGGTAACAACCCTTCTATTTTTGCCATTATGTCTTGGCATGTCAATTATGTACAAAATGTATTGAGTTAATTTCATTAATTTTTAAATAACATTTTCAAAATGAAAAGGGTTTTCTGGGTAATGTCATGTCCACAGGTAGATATATTAGATAACGAATAAGTGTACCTTTAACAAAATGCACTTAATCTTTTTGCAACCCTGCATTGATATAACAGATCCTACCCCCCCTCCACAGATGCATATGACCCACGGTCACTTGTGTTAGTTGACTGTCAGGAAGCCAGGGAAGTCACCTCCCTACGAGGTCAACAGGCACGGCGTGGGGTGCGGGCCTCCCTTCAACCTGGCAGAACCACGGGCGCTCCAACCGCCGGTGCGCATGCACGTCGGGTGCTCATGCGCAGTACACTGGCATGCCTGTGCCGGTTTAGACCTCAGGTGTGGGCCTCCCTGGGGGAGGTTCCCCAGTCCACTCGTAACACCTCTCGCCTGCCATTGGCTCTCGGGGAGGGAAGCCTCCTGGTTGCCTCGGTGACAGGGGGGCGGACTTACACCCCCTGGCTATAAAATCCTGGCCTGAGCCTTGGTTCATTGCTGAGTTATTCCACCTTATGGTGTGACATACGAAGCTCCCCTCCTATGTGCCTTGCTGCCAGTTTCCTGAACCCTCTGCTGACTCCCCGTGTACCGACCTTGGACCGTCTATCGCCTCTGAACCTTTGCTGCCTGCCTCGACCTCGGATTGGACTCAACTATCCCTTTTGGATTTCCCCCTTGTTAACTTACTTTCGGACTTTTCAGGCTGCTTCCTGCCAGAGGGTTCCATCCGTGCTGCTTGCCCGCAGTTGCACCTGACATTGACATCCCATGCTGCAGGTCCTCTCCGTCCTGGTAGTACCTGCACTGTAGAGCCACATAAAACTCCATGGGGCTTGTCTGCCAGCTGGGACATGGACAAGCTTAATAAATCTTCCCCATCTATGGGGCTCTACTGTACAGGCACAGCCAAGAAAGAGAGGACTTGCAACTCATTATGTAAACAATCCCCAAAGGCTGCAGGCATCTGCTCAAGGTAAGTATACATCTGCAGAGAGGGAGGTTAGGGGGTGTAAAAGGGATAATTGCACTTTGTCTTTAAGTGCACTTGTTCGGTCACCAAGGCCTGTTTAATTGCTTTAAACATGAAAACTTCCATCAACATCATGGCAATAATCATGCCAAAGCTTACATATCTGTCAATTTGTCTGAGCTTGTATTGCCCAATGGATTGTAAGGGTTGTGGTTAGGAATCAATTGTAACTATAGAAAACAGATAGATTTAAAAGGACAAAGGATGCATTTTAGCTGTCAATAATTTGGTAGACCATTTATTAAGTGGATATTTCAAGACATAGTTTTAGAAATTTGGGTGAAGTTTAATGCATATATAGGCAGGCTAGATTAGATGAGTGAGTAGAAGCAATGGAGACCATACATTTTTTAAAACAGCAATACAGATGTATTGTAAATAAATGTGATTTGCAGATTTTATCTGAAGGTGAATACATATAGGTTGTGTGATATACAGGTAAAAGATAACTAAACCCAAGAACAAAAATGCAATATATTGCAGCTTAACAGTTCTTGATAAGTTGCAATATTTTGGATATATTGGCTTTCATTTTTCCATCTAATAGGCTACGAACATTTTTCAGCAAGTACAAAAAATACCATTTGATCTTGCCAGATATGCAGTGTCCTTTTCATTTCCCGTGAGCTGGACAGAAAGCAAGACAATTTCATATGTCTAATATAAACTACTAATCAACCTCGTGTAAAGCAGATACAAAAGTTAGACATGTTTGAAGTCCAGCCTGGGTGACAACCATAGCTGCTTCAATAGATAAAGTGGAGTGTAGACATTCAGGGACAGGAAATGTGTAATACACAAGACTGCCAGATGAAAATAAAGAAACAATGCCTGAAAAAAGAAAACTAATGCAGTGAGCACATGTAAGGACTGTTAAGCTGAAATACTGTATATTACATTTTTGTTGGCTTCAGATACAATTTACTTCACCAAAAACACATTTTGCAATTGTTTTCTGAGGTTAGCAAACTGAACAATGTTGGACCCTCACAACTGTTCATGTATGATCTTTGTCTAGTAAAGTATGGTAAGTTGAGTATAAAGAAATGTATGTGCTGTTGTTGGGAGAGTGCTCATTTTGCTGTACATAAGAAACAAAGAACTGTCAGCTAGGCAGTGTTTACGTATTATGAATAATAATGATATGATCTCTGTGATAGTATAGGGAGGATTTTATGGCTGCCTAGGATTCTGTAGGACTCCTCTGAAGAAGCCAATACTTTTTTGTCAAAGCTAGAAATTATTGATTCATAGCATATCATTGCCTTAGGTAGAAGGGGTGCTAAGAGTGTCTACAGATATGTGTAAATGTTTGGGTATGTTATGAGGAAAATATTTTTTTTAAACGTCAATTCATGCTATTTATTTCAATTCATGCTATGTATTTCAAAATGTAAGGAGCAAAAAGTGTGTTTCATTGGGCCTAAATCACCGGGGTGAAATTCAAGAAACAAAACCATATAAGATTATTGTTGTACTTGTCCTCTAGGTCTCTTTATGTTATTGCTAAATTGATATATTAATGACTAGATAACTAATAGGGGTCAATCAAACTTCATATGAACATTTGAAAAGCCACCAATCTTTCTTCATCTTTATTAAAATTACTTTTCATCTAGATTTTCCAAAGAAATATTATGTGAGTTCATGTTCATGAGAACAAAGGACATGATTGACATATAGTACAATAAAAATACTATTGTTTCAATCATTTCCTTTCATCTGACTTCTGAGGGTAATTTGGATCATAAAAAGTAATTTCAGTCTTCTATAAGGTACCTGTCTTTTGACCAGCCAAGACAAGAAAAAAAAGCACAAATCAGAGAAAACATATCTTTGTAATAGATTCATATTAAAGTTAGTGAAATTCTGGGAAGATTCAAACTTAACTGTTATATTTTAAATAATTTCAAATGCAATATTATGTTGTGTATTTTATGGAGACATTTTACAACAAATTTATAAATAAAATATTTATACATCTTGCACATATATAATCAGCTTAATTTAAATCAATTTGTCACCTTGGGTTAAAGCTTAGAGTGTGCTATATCTCATGATATTAATTTTAGGGCTGATTTACACAAGTGTCAAAAAGAGTACCAACTTCCGGTTCTGGCGCCTGATGTACCGGACGCAGAGAACAGAACTTCCGCTCGGCCAGGGCTATATTTTATATAAAATCATACCCCAGCAAGTCAAAATACCCTGAAGACCTCTGCGGTATCAACTACTAGCCAGCCGGCTTACATGGATAAATTCCTGGCGAGACGTCGTACGACACCCCGAGGCAAGGGCACCCTGACTCGTGGCAAACTGCTGCAATCCTCTAAAATGGCGGCTATATCTGAGAGGCCAGATATCAGTGCCTCCCCTGATGAGGATATGCCCACGCTATCTCAACACAGCCTGATAGCTACCGAAGTAGCAAAACTCTTAAAACCCATAATACAAGAGGCGGTTCACAAAGCTGTATCCAAAGGCATACAATCTCTGCGCCACAACCTCATGAATCAGGCCCAGAGGATCTCGAAAGCGGAACACCTCATAGTGCTCCTTGAAGACAGCACCGAGTCATCCGCCTCACAGCTTAACTCTGCCAACAGGCACATTCAACGTCTCTTGGATCATGTAGACAACTTGGAGAACAGATCAAGGCGTAACAATTTGCGGATCATCGGCCTCCCGGAAACCTACCACCCCTCTACGCTGCCGACTATATGCGCACATAACATACCTGATCTGCTGGGCCTCTCTGCTCCTTACAAGGTCGAGCGAGCGCACCGCGTGAGCCCTCCAAATCCGGAGCGCAAGACACCTCGGCCGATTGCTGTGCGCTTCTTAGACTACAATGATCGCCAGGCCGTCCTTCAAGCTTACAGAGCCAGGAAAGGCCTACACCTGGAAGACAACCGCCTCCTCATCTTCGCGGATTACTCGGCCGAAGTCACGAAAAAGCGGAAGGCTTTTGGAAAAGTATGTTCTCTCTTATATCAACGAAAGATTCGTTTTAGATTAGCCTACCCGGCCATTCTCCGATTCCAATCTACCGATGCCAAACAACGCTCATTCCAAGATCCCGAGGAGGCGAGCTCCTTTCTGGAAGGCACGACATGCGGGTCACCGGCTGCGATGGAGAATGTTTCTTCCAAGCCTTCGCGCCTAGCCACCCTGGCAAGGCAACCTTCAAATCGTCTCCCGATGACCCCTTACAGATTCCCCTTGATCCCACCCATTCATGGTGTCCTTTACTGGAGGCCTCCAGTTATGGCTCACTAACCGCACTTTTTTTTTTCCTGAGTACCCACAGAGGCTGAGCCCCGGCCGTTCGACACTTCAGGACTTCAACCGAGGACCAGACCCCGAGACGGCCCCATTATACTTCGGGACTGGAACAGTGAGTAATTTTGCCTACACACACACGTGCTGGACCCCTTACGCCCGTCTGTTTAGGCCATATACTCTGGCCTAGCGGAGCGACCAAGTAAGCCCTGCCACACTCTCTAGGAAGAAAGCGAAGTCATGTACTGAGCATTTTTTGTTCATGTTTTTCACTTTTTGTTTTTAAGTTTTAAATTGTGCGGCCCAGTTGGCCTGCTAATGGTTAATATGCTGCTCCATACGTGGACACAGGGTGAATGTCAAGATGACTGTGTGGCGATTCCCTACATACATACCACCCCCATGTGCTTCCTATACTACTCATGTCACCGACTGATATGTGGTGTTTCTTTACTTAATATGTTGATATCCTTTATATGTATTGTGCTTGATATGCCTAAATGTGTC